GGGATGGGGAATCAGGGATGGCAAAACAAAAGGCAAGGTATGCAGGACATAAGAATTGGAAAATTATTTGCTGAGAACATGTATGTTGATGTGCTTGATTGAGCCAATGCACAGTGTGTTTTGGATGGAAAATTCATTTGTGTGTTGTGATGGTGTATAGTGAATTAATGTAGAAAATGAATTTAAAAAATCACAATTAAAAAAAAAAGAACTTTTGTGGAGAACCTGCCCATTATTTCCTGTACCCTATTCAACTCTGGGTATAGGAGAAGCATGTCCAGATTTTTAATCCAAGTACTATTGGTACTGTGAAAGAGATATTTCTCCTAGAAAAGGATATTACTCCCATGTGGAATGTTGCACATGTTGTCCATGTAATTCTGTGCTGATGTTATTGGAAAATGAGCTTATCATCCCCATACTTACTTAATTCTAAAATAATAGCTTTCTAAGTAACGTGCTGTTAGTGGAGGGAAACTTTGGTAAGAACATGAGTCCTGAATTGCCTCATAGAATGTTACCTACTGAACATCCACATTGAACTGCTCCATGAATGAAAGAAAAATTCTCCCAGGCTTTTTATGTCAGAGCAGTCATCATAATCCTAATTATTTCAATATCTGCAGTAATTATTAAAGCTCATAGTCACATAATTTCACAGTTTTAATTTTTTTTTATGGTCTGAAGCTCCCCAAAGTTGATGAAAGTAGTCTTGAAATTGAAAGCATAATGTTCATAAATTCTATCTCTATTAGATTTGTCTTTTTTATGGTCTGAAGCTCCCCAAAGTTGATGAAAGTAGTCTTGAAATTGAAAGCATAATGTTCATAAATTCTGAAACTATCTCTATTAGATTTAATTGTCTTTTCATAGTTTCTCTTTCTTTTTGAAAATAAGTAGGCCTTCCTTCCTAAAGCAGGTAACAGATTACTGTATATATTAAAAGCATCAAACTCCTATTTATTAGCCAGGTAAGCTAAGTTGTAAGTAAGTCTGCATGAATAAATACATAAATACGAGGAGCTGAATAAATAGCATAGATTTTCCTTGAGTGTATCTCAAGAAAATACAGAATGCTTTATCTTCTCTCTAGAAAAGAAAGCAAATTACTATTTTTTAAAAATCGAAATGTTATATTCCATTCAACTTATGAACCTGCAGTCTAGGACAGTGATAGCAGCACATTCTATGGCAAGTTATTACTGTGTATTACAGGCCAGAACAGAGCCTAGTGTTGAAATAGTTTATCTCCTTCCAGTCATTAAATATGTATGAAGGGAAGGTGTTTGTTTTGAAATACTGGACTAATAGTGTTAATATGTAAATGGTTCTTTTATTCCTAAAGTAACGCTTCATTAATATGTGAAATATAATATCACCTTTGGTCATATTGTTTTAGTCTGTTTGGCTGCAGGCTGGATGTAACAGTCTTGCATCCATTTACATAGTCAAGACTATTTTTTCTGCTGAAGGAAACTAAAACTTCATGTTTAAACATAGGCTTTTTGCAAAAAAATTTACAGAAAATGAATAGGTAGAATCTACAGCTTTCCAATGACTATTGGATACAAAGAAGCACGTCTGAATGTTCTTATCTTGGATGAAGCAATATCAGTTACTTCTTAATTGTCAGAGATCATCATTAAACTGACAGAGATAAAAAACTGATGCTCTAAAACTCCTTTACGATTATAGTATTTAACAACTTGTTCTTATAGAGTCAAATCCAACAGTATCACTCATATGCTTTTATTACCTTTTACATAAGTATAACTTCTGTATTTAATTTTTTATTATAGACAAGTTTTTTACATATACAAAATAGGGTAAATAGTTTTTAAAAAAAAAAACCCTCAAATATCTACCCCTTAGTAATAACATGAATCAATTCATGTCTAATTTTATTTCAGCTATATGCCTACTCATTCTTTTGTTCCTGAATTAATTTGAAGTAAATTGAAGATGTCATGAAATTCTTCTAAATAAATGCTTTAAGAAGAATTAGATTTATTAGATATATAGCAAAATGCAAAGATCATTAGTCAGAATAAAATTAAAAGAAAAATATTACATATCTGTTTATATGTTTCACAATAGTATTAAATTTGAATATGTATACTATTTCACTTTCTTAGCATCTATATTAATGCAGGAGGCTTATCGCCTTGTCAATCTACTATAAGTTTTTATCATTACTAGCCTTACCTTAGCTACTTACTGATATCTTTAATTGAGAAACACTTTGTAACACAACTCTTGCCATCCTGAAGCTTTCATTATAGACAGGTAAGTAGACATGAATAAGAAAACATCAGGGATGATAATCCCTATAACAAAAAAAGTGCATGATATTTATAAAAACTAAGGGAAGAGGAACGGAATCATAAATCCAACTCCCCATTTTTTATCACGTTTTATATTAGATGCGGCAGTGATTTTCATATATAGCTAACACACATAGCTTTTTCAATGGAAAAAGGGTGTGTACACACACCAGAAAAAGAGAGAAAGAGAAAGAAAGAAAGCACTCCCAGTAGGGCAATCCTTTTTCTTCATTTGTGCTTCCCATCAGGATTTTGGCCACATGTTTATACAATCTGGGGTGTTTTTCAAGCCCCTGTGTCTGGCTCCCAGTGAATAGAACTTAACCAGTAGGATATGGGGCTGGTCCTATTGAATGTACTTTTTTTTTCCCAATGTATTTTTTAAAAAGCAAATTACATCACCTCTGAACACAATTTTTGATGTTATCATTTTTAAACTAACTACTTCAAAGTCTGTTACTATAAAAAAGATGTACCATTAATGCAGAATGAATATGTGATACAGTTAAAATGGCTTCACATTTTTTGGATTTCTCCCAATGAAAAGTTGAATATGTGGCCTATAGAGTTTTCAAAGTGTTCCATGATTGGAAACCAGCAGTTAGCGTAGTGGCTATGTCGCTGGACTCCCACGTAGTCGACTGCAGTTCGCGTCCAGGACCTGGTGGCTTAAAACTCACGACAGGCGCGTGTGCGTGTGTGCCCAAGATCCCGAGAGGAGAATGGAGGAGAAGGGACTGCAGCGTGACCATCACCCCGGGGGGTGATTTCTCGCTTTCTGTCTCTCTGTCTCTCTCTGTCTGTCTGGCGAGCATACGTGCCCTATAGCAAAAACAACAACAACAACAACAACAACAACAACAAAAAAAAAACTCTCAAAGTATTCCATGATTAGTTAATCAAAAATAATACAGAAGATGTGACACTGTTCTGTTTCTAGGCTGATACCATATGGGACTCGCAATTTATACTTCTTCTCTTCGAATACTCATTCTTAGACTCAGTCACCATGTTGTTCTCGCTTTCTGTCTCTCTGTCTCTCTCTGTCTGTCTGGCGAGCATATGTGCCCTATAGCAAAAACAACAACAACAACAACAACAAAAAAAAACTCTCAAAGTATTCCATGATTAGTTAATCAAAAATAATACAGAAGATGTGACACTGTTCTGTTTCTAGGCTGATACCATATGGGACTCGCAATTTATACTTCTTCTCTTCGAATACTCATTCTTAGACTCAGTCACCATGTTGTGAAGAAGTTCAAGCAATCCCATGCCCAGGCTTATGTGAAGGGGAACCCAAGCTCTGCTGCTAGGACTGAGATCCCAGTCAACTGCACCAATGTTTCTGCCTTGTGAATATATAGATTTAGAAGTTGTGCTTTAACCCAAGTAGAGGTACTGCATCCTAGAATGATTAAAGCAGAGATGAATTATTTTATATTACAGAGGCAGGAACAAAATAATTGACCTCTATCTTAAGCTACTAAGCTTATATGCTATATAGAATTTTTTTTTTTTTTTTTTTGGAGAGGGTTTTTGCTACAAGGTGTGTGCGCTCGCCAGAAAGATAGAGAGAGACAAAGAGAGAGAAAACGAGAAATCACCCCCCAGGGGGAATGGCTATGCCACAATCCCTTCTCTTCCATCCTCCTCTCGGGATGTTGGGCACGCATGCACACACGCCCAGCATGAGTTTAAGCCACTGGGTCCAGGACTCGAACTGCAGTCAACTACATGGGAGTCCAGCAACCTAGCCATTACGCCAAGTGCTGGTCCCTACAAGGCCATTTCTGATGTTCACTCTCTAATCTCAGAAAATTACCTTGGACAGTAGCACATCAAAGACTTTGTTGAATGTGCCCTGTCTATTTTGATGCATCCATTAAATAACATAAACTACCCTCCAGGTGGTCCTTATTTTCTTCCTTGTATATTCTTTCATCTTAATGGTTTTTTTTTAAAGTTGAGTATACATTTTACGTACTTTCACACTCCTGTGTTCTGGTTTCAAGCTTTCCTCTACACAGGATATAAAATATATGAAAATAAGAACTATGTTTTTCATCTCTTAAAGGACAATGTTTGTCAGATAATCAATGTTTATTTTTGAATGAATGAAATGAATGGTTTAAATACTGTCTTGCTTAAGGTTCTTATTCGGTGAGTCTAGATTGCTTTTTCTTACCTCTATATAGCTCACTGTCATAACTTTATGAACACTAATCTATCTTTTTTCAAATACAATTACTTGCAAGTAGATTATAATGAAAATAATCCATTTTTGTACGATGATATATTTTGAAATAGAAATCAGTAAAGTACCTGTAGGACACTGCTACCTTTCCTGCGGGAAATAGTACAAATCAATCTTAGAATCCAGTGTCTCCTCAGAGAAAATACATGCAAGGGAGTTGAGGAAAGACATGAACTTCCACTTGCTTTCTTCACAGTTACTTCCACTTAACTATCAGGAGCTAGAGGTTAATAGCCTGAATAACAAAATAGTACACAAGGTAAGATGCAGTCAAGACATCAGAAAAAATATCATAATTTTTTTGAGAGTTTTGTTATAGGGCACTTGTGCTCAACAGAGCAAGAAATCACTCCCAGGAGGGATGGCCATACTGCAATCCCTTCTCATCCATTCTCCTCTAGGGATTTTGGACATGCACACACATGCACCCAGAATGTGTTTTTAGCTGCCACATCTGGGACTTGAACCACAGTTGACTATGTGGGAGTCCAGTGATATAACCATTACACCATCTACTCATCCAACAATATCATCATTTTAAAAAAGAGAATTCAGCATAAAGAATTGTTAGTCAAGTGTTGGTGAACTGGAAAGGCAAGATGGGAACACTAAGGTACAAATCCAGGACACAGCTCCCACCACTAAAGAGGGAAGAGGTCAGAAATTTGGAAGTCTCCTTGGGCTAGAGAAATGGTACTCAGCAGGCTGCTATGTGTTCTTCTTAGAGAGAAGAAAGGACTTATTCTGAGACTACACAATAAAACTCAAACTGGAGCCACCTGCTGCAGTAGGAAAAACCGGCATCGTCAGGTGCAGAAATGCAGAGTGTCCCTACTTTCTCCTCTAGCCCCTAAGGGGGCTAGAAATATAAAATTACAAAATATTACTCTGGAGATGAGAGAACACTATACAGACTCTCATTCCTTTAAGTGTACGCTCTTAGCAGAGTCTAAGAAGAAGTCCACTGGGGAAGCAGAAGACTGTTTTCAGCACTCCAGGCCTGTCCTCATATAACAGATCATAGAAGGATTATTTCAAAGCTAATGGGTTACTCCTAAAACCATGAAGCAGTTCTGGATCATTTATGTCTGTATTCACCAGGACCTCCTTTCTATATTTCTTTTCATTTAAGGTTCTCTTTCAGAAGAAGACTTCTCATACAGGAAGGATACTGAATATTTTTCATAAGTGAAGGAAAATACAAATTATAAATATAATGAGTCATTACACAATCATTCCATCTGAATTTGGCAGGATTCAGTAAGGTTGGAGTAAATAAATAAACCACTTCTGTGCCGATTTAGTGAGAATTATGGCTATATGTCCCTATGTTTTGTTTTGGTGGAATTTGGCTGGAGCTGCCCCCCAAAACTTTAGCAGCAGAATTCTCACAGGAGGGACCAGCAGTTAGCGTAATGGCCGTGTTGCTGGACTCGAGTCCTGGACCTGGTGGCTTAAACTCATGCAGGACTTGTGTGCCTGTGTGCCCAAGATTCTTAGAGGAGAATGGAGGAGAAGGGATTGCAGCATGGCCATTCCTTCTAGGGGGTAATTTCTTGCTTTCTGTCTCTGTCTCTCTCTGTGTTTCTGGCAAGCACACGCACCTTATAGTGAAAACCTCTAAAAAAAAGTGAGAAAAAAAAAAAGAACTTTCACAGGGGAATGCCTCTGAAATGAGCTAGAGCTAGTTGGGATTTCAGAGAAAGATGAGCTTTCTTTGCCAGGATAATCAGTCTAAAGCCTTCACTGGGGCAACTTACATGCTAGGTTGCAGCATATCTCAGAGTCACTGAGAAAAAAAGCATATTCTATCCAGGAATGTTCAATTAATGGGGGTCAGGGTATGGAGTTCATATGAGAGTTTAAGGAATTTGCTTCAGGGCTGGGGCTACTTTTTTTTTTCTGGAGAGGTTTTTGCTATAGGGCTTGTGCGTTATCCAGAAAGGCAGAGAGAGAGAGAGAGAGACAGAGAGCGAGAAATCACCCCCCAGGGGGGATGGCCACTCCACAATCCCGTCTCCATTCTCCTCTCGGGATCCTAGGCACACATGCACGCATGCCTGGCGTGTTAAGCCACTGGGTCTGGGACTCGAACCGTGGTCAGCTACATGGGAGTTCAGCAACATAGCCATTACGCTAACTGCTGGTCCCTGGAGCTACTTTCTAACAACATTTTGGGCATCAACCTAAATGCTCTTTTTTATCAGTGCCTGGGAATGTTCAGACTCCTGCTTGGGCTCAGACCTATAGGAGGTATATGGGTGTTTGGGTCACAGAGTAGTTGAGATATTCTATTTCACAGGCAGGGGAAGAGAAAATCAGAGAAGCCTGGGGGGCCCTCCCATGTATATTCATTTTTTGAATTGCTTTGCTATTATAGGTGGAAACCCAGTGAACAGAAAGGGTAAAGGTAAAGGGTAAAAAATAAATTAATTAAAGACAAAAATGATTCAGTTGAACTAAGAAGCACATAAGAGCAGGAGCAGAAAAAATTTATATGGACAAAGGAGTTGAAAGGGAACAAGAAAACCACTGTAGAATTGATTTGTAATCCAAGTGCAGGGCATATTCTTAGTCTAGTACACATACATTAAGAAATGAGAAGGTCACAGGAAAGTATAATCACTTTACTTCAGAATGTATTATTCTTCCTGTGCTGCCATGCTCCCAGAGGCTCAGTAGACTGTTTGTACTTAGAGATCTGTATCTTCGTATTCCTTCAGTTTTGGTGTACATAAAGACATGTCTTTGACATTTTTTTCTTCACATCAAAAGTCACATTATTAGTTAAGTAGAATTTGGGTTTATTGCTTATAGAAATGTACTCAGTTTAAAATATGCAGTACACTTGAAATCCATTGAGTACTGAGATATTATTTAGAAAAAGAAAAAATCCAAATGATCAACAAATGTGTCCAAGATGAACAGTCCCTCCTCTTATTCATTTTCTGTCTGTTATCCCATGTATCATTTTTAATGTTTGCTAAATTTATATACAACAACCATTAGGTTCTTTTGAAGACAACTTCTATAAATATGATAGACTATCACTGGGCCAGTAGGAGGTGTGGAGGTTCAAGCAGCTGGATCCCACATGATCGACTAGGCCATTAAAGTCCTGGGCATGGAGATGTGAAATCATAATATGAGAGACAGATTTATTTATTTAAACACCGAACATAACCCTTAAATGTGACTCAACTTGACCTGTTGGTTTAACATTTGCATTGGTTTAATATTTGCAAGGGGTATGAAGATCAAGGTACCACTGGTTGTCCAAGAAGCTCCATTGTTTATCTTAATGGCATATAAAACATTAAAATATTTCAGAAATATAAAATTACAAAATATTATTCCGGAGATGAGAGAGAACTCTATACAGACTCCTATTATCAAGTTTATATTCTTCATAGAGATACAAATATGTAAAACAAACATGTTAGAAAAAAGAGGAGCAATGAAAAAAAGAAGAAAAGAAAAAGGAAAGAGTTAAAAAAGAGAGAAAGGGACAGGGAGAGTAAGAGAAGATATAATAAAAGTACAGTTAAATAATGCCTGAGATATCTGCTTCACTACTGAGCAGAAATGCTAGAGAACCATAGAACACCTACCGGTTTAAAGATTGAAATGCTATTTTTTTAATAATTGAATTTTCTAATTATCTTAATGAGGGCGTAATTTCTTATGCATGAAACCATTCTGTTATTTTAAAGATCTTTATGTAAGCATTTCTATTTTCTCCAGATTCTGAAATTTTACAAAAGCCTAGATTTTTAAAATACCCAACACATTTTAAATTAATGCACCATTTTCCTGTTAAAAATCAGCCTGCATAAAATGATCTGTAGCTGAACAGGAGCAATAGCAAAGGTGTGAACTACTTCAGGAAAGCGCTAACTTCACAGGCCAAATGAGAACATTTAAATGCTAAAATTTTCAGCAACAGCAAACAGATGTTTCTGCAAAATATTATTCTTTTTTTTCCTGTTTTCCAAACTACTTTTTCTACATGCATTTACTTCTTCATTCTTCAAACTTGGACTTTCCTGCCACTTTCCCAATTTTCAGTGCTCATTCATCCTTGAAATGTTTCATTTTTACTTCTCAATCTCTCCTCCTCTGCAGTAATTGCAATAGAAGATGGGTATATGGGTCTGCTCTAAAAAATGAATTCAGTAGTAGTGACATGCACCAGACTGATAGCACTGCAGACTGAAGGCTATTGTTTTAATCACAGTAACCCAGACTCCAAACCACATACCTCATAGTTGCCTGAATAACTGTTCTAAATTCTATCCTGAAAGAAGGGACAAGGATTAACCCTTCGTCATAAAATATAATTAGTGTTCATTTTCAAATGACTGCATGATATAGGTATGTGCTTGAAAAGACATATAGTATTTATGATACCAATCAAATAACCATTAGACATTATTGAACTTGGATAGCTCACTAAGGCAGAAACCTGCCTACTAATTTTAAGTTCCAATTACGTTTGTGATTATATAGAAATTAATTCTCAAAAAGAAGATAAACACATATTTCAAGGGCAACTTGGATGGTGCTAATGTCAAATTAGAGAATTCTGTATTCCATGGGAACACATACATTTTTATGTAATGTGTCTTTTTAAATATGAAAGAAAATAAAACTGTCCGTCCCATCTAAAAGTATTTAGCCAGTGTGGACAACATGCTAACTTCCACAATATGTTACCTACTGCCTGAAACAACATCTTATTCACCCCAAAATCAATTGATGATGGTTTCACAAAGGGATAAGAACAGAAACTGGCCTAAGACTCAGACTGACTAGATTACAGTCTAACCAGCCTTCATAGTAAACTAAGAATATGACCTTGTACAAATTTCTCAGCTCCTCTGGATGTTACTTTTTTCAGTGGTAAAAGAATAGAGAATATCTGTACTCTATGACAGAAACATAAAAACCTGAAGAAATGGCAGTAGAGAGGGTAAGTGTAGATACCAGAGACTGTAAGGAAGGGAAATGGCTGGTAGAGAATGGGTGGTAGAGGGAAAATGTGAGGTAAAAAGGGAATAAACATTTAACAAACGAAAAATATAAAATTCTCTGTTAAAAATATGCATATTATGTACATCACAATGAACAATTTATATAGAATAAAATCAATCAAAAAAAAAAAAAGAGGGGGATAG